GCAGTGAACCCATCACTGCGGAATGTCGGCACGTTCATTTGCACGGCGCTTCGTCATCGTTTCGCATGCACTTCACAGGTTTAGGGAACACCCATTTGTGTGGCGTTTCTCTGTGGCTAGCCCGTATGCTATGTGAAGGTGGTGAATGCCAGAGGAGAACAATACCCCGCGAGTTTCCCGAATTTGTTCTGTGTCGCCTTATATTAGGTGCTGACAGGAAGAGTTGTTTAAACACTTCCGAAATGGCTATTCCAGCAAGGAGATAGTAAGAGCGACGGAGGTGTTCCAAAACTTCGGCATCAGCACTGACAATGGTTGCCTTTCGCTGGAGGTGCTCACTTCCGGGCTAGTTTCTGATTCATAGCTTGGAAAGCTTTCATCGACAGCACTACTCCGAGCCTCCGGACCGTCCCTCCATCTATGCCTTCGGCCGCCGGGTGTCGTGATGTGCAGGAATGACTCATGCGGCAGGCACGCTACTGAAGCTTCTAAAGGTTCTAAAGGGAGGTAATGCACATGGAACGGGTCGACACATTCAGCAATGCCGAACCGGTTTCAGCCTAGGGACAACGCGCCTTCGCTCTTCGCCCTGCCCTTCAGTGTTGTCAGCCCTGATTAAGCCTGTGCTTGTGAAAGCCTCAAGGGGCCTGCTTCAGAGACAGATTTCGTGTGAATCTGCGCCCTGGAAGTGTTGGGCTACCGGTAGTGCAAATATCCCGCCGGGCTTGGCAAACGTAGGATGGGCCAGAGGCATATAAACGAAGGACACAGCTTCCAACAATTGCAGGTTTCGGTGTACTGCTTTGGTGGTACGAGGAGGTTGGTGGAGCAAGCAAGCCATGGAACATATTGCCGGTTTCGGTGTCCAGCAGAGGCTAGCCTTGGGTGCGCAAGCCTTGGCACGAACAAGCTAGCTGTAGAATGTGCGTCCAAATGCGGCTTCCAACAGTCATCGCCTGCGTGTCCGTGGGGGACAGGAAATTGTCTACGCTGTCTTGCTCCTGTTGCAGGGCACTAAGTCGGGGAATTGAACCATAAAGTTTCAAAGCTTACATGTGCCCTGTCCTTGTCTACGGTGTTTTGCTCCTGCTGCAGGGCACCAAGTCGAGGAGTTGAACCACACAAGTTCAACTTACAAGGGAGGATGTGCAAACTAGTGCAAACCACAAGTCCTAAGGCTGGTTCATATCGCATGGTGTGCAACCTGAGAAACACGAAATTCCCCCTTGACAGTCACAGCCGTTCTCGTCAATTCGAACGAGCTGGCCCAGGAGTTGCTCAATCGTCAAGCTATTGAGGTCATCGGCATCATGGTCGACTTGCTCGCATGTGGATTGACGAACTCTTTCTCAAGATGCTCGCCGAAATTGTGCAACACGCAGTTGTACCTGCCTGCAGAGAAAGCTTGGCAACTTCACGAGCTTTTTTGCAAGGCACAGCAAGTGGCTGGCTCAGAGCCACACCAGCAATGACGATCCATCAGCTGTCAAGTTGACAGGCTCTCCCTGCTCCCTCAGCCTTTCAAGGGAGCTGGCCTCAGGCGTTTTCGGAAGGGCTAACCTGAGCATTCAACCCCTGCATCCACTGCTGTGCCTTTAGAATAGCTGAGGAAGACAAGTACAGAGTCGCTAGAGATTGAGGTGTCGTGTGAGATACGCTGTCCCGTTCTTCTGTCATCTAGCGATGAAGAGTCCATGGCCTTGCAGAGCTGCAGGTGCATACTCTGAATATCTCTCAATGCAGGTGATTGTGTCCCCGACACGCCAGGTTTGCTGAGCTCCGGCGAAGGTGTGTGTGTGTGTGTGCAAACATTGATTGGAGTGCACGCCCATGCGTTGCATCTTGGAGCTTGCAGTAAAGGCTCGGAGCAATGCTGCCCTCGACTGGAACACCTGAGTTTGAGGGTGTCCCTTTTCTACTTTTTCCACCGGCTACAGATGTACCAAGATCTTTTCTTTCGTTTGCTGGCAACGAGCTTCCGCACCTTTCACGCAAAGCTTGGAGCTCTGGCAGATTCTGGAAGTGCCGTTGGCCTCCACCATCGATGAACGGAACCATCTGTGGGCTTTTGCGACACCAAGCCAGGCCGTTCGCCAAGACATTCATGCAACTGTGACTATCGAATGTCTGAGCTCCGGTAGAACCACCCCATGCAGCTACGAGCAACTTTATCATCATGTCACTCACTGTTTCTTTCGATGGTGCCTGGCTGCAACTCGAGACTGCAGCATCTTGCGGCAAAGCTTACAGTCACGCTGCTTGTGAAGAGCATGCTGCTACCACGCACAGCCCTGGTCCACACGGTCTCCAACAACTGTGAGAGGTGTGCTGAACATGTCCACTTCGCTGATGCTGCTTGGAGAGCTCATGGCTTCCGGCCAGCATGCATTGTCACTGCACGTCAGCTGGCCAGGGGGCCACAGTCATGGAATGTGGACTGTAGCCGTGGCCGCAGGTGAGGCGCATTGCACTGGACTAGCAGTCGGTCAGTCTCAGGTGGCTTGTATTCGAGTTGCCTGTAAAAGCAGATGTGCCGGCATGCGCTGTCCTGGATTGCCCTGGATCAGCCACTCTTTCTGCATCCACCCTGTCTCGGCGTCGGAAGGTGGTTTTATCCTTTCCATGGGTGATTTTCGTGGGCCTGGCCCTGCTTCGCGGAGCCTAGTGGCAAAATGAGTCCAATGGACTTCACATTCAAGCCGCGGCCCACCTGTGCTAGCGACAGTGGCTTGCTGGCTGACATATCCCCGGAGGCAGGTAAGGTATGCATACAGGGCCCTTGCCTGTCCTGGCTACTTCCATCTGCTAGGCCGTCTGGCGCCAGGTCTGTTTTCATCTACACCATGATACAACGTAGTTCCTGACGTTGCCACGCTTCGACAAGAATCATTGACTTGTTGTCTCATCCGGTCGGATTGGGGTTTAGGGTGCGGATTCCTATTTCATGCCACCCTTAGAACGCCATTGGAGTTTCAAGGTCCTTGTCTGTCTTGTGTTGGATTTGCGCAACCAAGGCCACTCTGGTGTGTGGGTAGATTCAGGGCTATGTGCTATGGTGACGTCCAGGATCCGTAGGTGACACCATGACTCTTTCTCAGCTTCTGCAGAGTTGTTCTTGCGCTTCTTTATCCGGACTCGACGGCGACTGCCTACAAATTGTGCTTTCCGAAACGGACACACCATGCAGCAGATCGCGACATTCGCGACAGACACCAGAAATGTCGTGGCTACTTCGATTGAGGTTGGCATCTCGAACGCCGCTTCTGCAAGTCTCGACTGATTCTGCTTAGCCACATGTTGTGGCTTCTGTTGGTGAAGGTTTTGGGGGAGAGACTCTCGCACTTTCCTGAGGAAGATTCTGCAGAAACGACTTTTCACCGACATGGGGCACTTGCGCAGACTATCTAGGTTGCTACTGCAGATGAGATTTTGAAGTGAGGCGACGCGTGACTGAGCTGGCACCAAGCTGCACATGTGAGCTGTTACCGGTGGGAAGTTCGCTCAGCTGGCATGTGCAGCTGCGCTTTTACGTGATGTATATACCCCCCACCAACTAATGTATCCCCGAGGGGGTGGGCGCCTTGCATGATACATTAGCGGCCCGCCAGAAATGTATCCCAGAGTTGTCGGTTTGGAAGTGGGTTTGGCTAGGTATCCAACCATCTATCCAATCTGGAGCATGCAGGCTGAAACGAGGCCGGAAAGATATGATGCTTTTTCTGGTGAGCTGAAGTGGGCCGGCCGTCAGGCACATGGCCCGTCGGTAGAGCATATCGTAGACCATCGTGACACTGGACAGAAGTGCAATCATTGTGTCTCTATTCTAGATGTCGGCATGATGAACCCTGGAAATCCGGAGCCCGGCAACCACCGACCCTGATACATTAGCTTTTCCTTAAGGGCCCACCAGAGAACAATGTATCCCACTAGCGGGGGCCTCCACTTTGCAGCTGGTAGGGGGTATCGTGATGTATTTTTGGGTTTTCGCGGTCTCCCACATTTCGACTGGCCTCTTAACCGCTTATGAGACATGCAGCCACACAAACCAGCAAACATACTTGTGTGTGCCAGCAGGCAGCACGTACTTGGTCTCGGCTCCATCTCGTATCACTTGCGTGATTTACGCATCCATAGGCGTCCACACTCGGGGAACGCGTGATAAACGCTTCGTCATCTTATCGAGTTCTGTATCTGGACTTTGGCATTCTTCGGCACCGCCCTCATGTCCAGAACCAGCATGAGAAGATGATGCATCCAATGCTGCAAAGCCGTGGCACTTACGCTGGCAGCATGCTCAGCCATGGCCTTGATCTCAGATGTGGGAGACCCCTATCGTAACGTCCTGAGTGGGGCTTGCTACATGGGTGCTGGAGCGTTTGCAGTACATTTCCGGGTAGTCCACGCAGTCCAGCTGGATTCCAGTGCATTATGCTGTAGCCAGGACCTTGGGCGCCAAGGCGCAGCTGAGATGTTGATTGGATCTTGGACCCGCAAGCAGCGCACAGCAACACACAACGTACTTTCGCGGCTGTGAGGGGGAGTCCGGGATCTACCAAGTACGATATTTTCTGGGCCGATGGAAGCCAGGCTTCATCGCATAGTCACCGGCTCAATCTGTGCAAATATGAGTCAGCCTATCAGTGATGGCGTCAACTTAACGCTGCAGCTAGCTTGGGCTTTCTCTGTGTACAGATAGAAACGGACCAGAGTCTACTGTCCCAGTGGTCTCATCGTGTTTTGAGATGCTTGCCTCAGCTTCGCTTGCATGCAGGCATCTGCTCTGACGCACTGTTGAAAGGCAAGGTGCGATCTTTGGCCGGCACGGCTATGGCATTGGGCAAACATAAAATTACAGGCGCGAAACACATTCAAGCCGCTCTGTGCAGGACTAGATGTTGCATGTGCAGAGCATGCCGATCATAGATTCGATGAGCTGTTTAGCTGCCGGCAGGCTGCTTTCCTTCGATTAACTTCAAGGCGACTGTTGGTGCACCCAGGCGATGACGGGCTCCTGTGACCCGCTGCAGCTGGAAGCGTCGCGCCTGAAGCGCCGCTCGTGCCTTGTTTGGAGGGCAGGATTACATGTTCTCTCTGTTTGCAATGATGGTGCCGCATTTGCAGGACACGTGTTGTGGTGGTTGTGTCTTGGCTTGGAGAGGCTTCTCCAAGCCGGACTCAGCCAGCATGGATCCTCGATGTTCTGGTGTGCATCCAGTTCGCAAACGCCTGCCCTGGACCGAAACGGGTCGGACTACTGCATCCCCACCGCAATTCCTTCGCCACTGCCTCGGTTCAACTGTTCCAGGAAAGGGTGTCGTGCTTTGCAAGCATAGCGGGTGCTTTGGTGTACTAGAGCTTTGTCGGTCGTGAGAGTACTTGTCTTGTGAGCCTCTGGAGCCGGCATGTCAACGCTCGGCATTCTGCCGTGCACCCCAATTAACGGGCCCAAGGGTAGTTTCGCTCAGACGTTTTGGCTGAGTTTTTGCCTGGCTCGAAGTACGGCATTGATTTTTGGCAGCAAGGCCATTGCACCGAGAGCATCCGTGATGGTTCGGCGGTAGCACAGACTCTTCGCCCTCGCCGCCTGCTCCCTCTGCCCCGCAAGATGCGCCGAAAAGGACCACAGGTGAGCTCCACCTTTCAGGCCCGGGCCGATTCCCAGAGTTAGTCCACAGCCGTGCCCGACGGTGGTCCCACTTCAAGATGCATCGCACCTTCGTGTTCGTGCCTGGTTCCCCAGCGTTTGGGCCAATCTAGCGGAGTGCCAACGGTAAACGCCAATGGACAGTAAATCCAGGCAGCTTCTAAGACTGTTTGCCTTGGCCTCAGCTTATCCAAAGCCTTTCTTGTCACTCGCACTAGCTGGGGAAAGACTTCGGAAGGCTGGCGTGCACAAATAGTTGGAGGTATGCTTCCTGCATTCTTCGGAGGCTCTTGCCATCGCAAGTGTTCTTGTCCTGACATGATGTCCGCGATATTTCGGCACCGCGTTGCCATTGCAACGGGATTCAAGTAGAAGTTGGGATTTTCGCCTCTGGCCAATCCAGGGTCAGAGCATCTCACATCAATCGTTGTGTTAATGAGGTGATAGGGTCTTGCGGCTCCATTAGCCCGAACGGACCGTCCCAAATTTTCGTGCTACCTCACGCTGTAGGTCACGCCATAGCTCCCAATTGACTTATTCGCCTGAAGCCACTTTTCGCCCTTAAAGCCTGTCCTGCATCCCTTCTTGTGCTCGTGAAGCTGTGTGTCGGCGAAGGAAGCCCAAGGTCTGCTTTCTCGAAGGTTGCAGGCAGGCTTGGCCAACCTTGCTTCTCGTGAAACTGACTTTCCTTCCCAATTCATGTGATGGTGGCCTTCTGTCGATCAAGCATCTCAGGCTCAGGCTAATGTCAGCACCATGGCACTGGACTTGCGCTACAAACCGGTGATCATCTGTGCGAAATCTGTGAGCCAACCGAGCTGTGGAGGTGGAACTTCGCTGCGGCGCAGCTTTAAACAGTTACTCAGATGAGTGGCCAACACCGGCTGGCGTCTTTCGTTCTGGTCTGGGTGGTCGCCCATCCCGTCCTGTTGTCGTTGCTGCCAGCCTCGAGCTTGGACAGATGCCACCTGACAAGTCTGCTTCGCTGCCAGCGGCTTGGGCAGTTGCTACACTTGCTGCTTTGTTTGCCTGCCTGTCAGCCTCTGCACCACACAGAAACGCCTCCGTGCCAACACTCGCTGCGGAGGTAGAGAATCCTCCGGCCATTGCACCTCGGCATAACTGAAATTCAGGCGGCTGCTCTGTCTGGTGGAGAGACCTTTTGTAGGTCTCTTGCCAGGGTACTACAGGGACAGGGGCACCAAGTGCGGTTGCCCAGCGAAGCGATACCTGGTACCGATACACCCAAAACGATGCAATACCTCAATGTTGAATGAATGTGTCGGATATTGCCCACCGGCTCGTATTGTACGGCATTCCAGCTCAGGTTCTGTAGGAAATGCGCACATCAGAATACTTCACGAGAAACCTATTGTTTATGCCGGAAGCTTGTGCCCACACCCAGCGTCAGCGTGATGTTGATGTTCCATATTTATGGCATGGCAGCTCCTGATTTTTGCGTGGAGTCCGGTGTGGAGTGTCCCATATTGGCGGTTTGTGGCTTTAACAAGCTTGTCTTCATGGTGAATGCACTGCCTGTTGTTCTAGGGCAGCTGCCACGAAATCTAATGTTTGCCTGTCCACAGCCTTGCGCTGTTGTACGGAAGATTGCCCAAGTGCTGTCCCGGCAAACCAGCACCCTTGATTTGAACACATGGTGGGGTTTTGGATCACCTGCATCTGTACCTCCAATAGCAGTGTGCTTGCGGGTTGTGGGCTATGTGGGCCCGAATGGCAGGAAGAGACTACATGGCCGAGGACGAGCATTCCGCAAGCTATAACTGACAGGAGACAATAGTCGACAGGTCAACATCATGCCATGCGTAAAGGCCTCTTGCCAGGAAGTCTTGCCAGCAAGGAGACGCCAGCCTTCATGGGCCCTGCATTGAGGACCTCGTGAGACATCTGTCGGGAGGGGCCTTCAGGGCCTGTGAGAGCCATCCGGAGCCTTGCAGGGGCGAGCCGTTCTCGTTCGGGAAGTGCATTCAATCGTTTCACCCCCTTCTGACCGCCGAGGCAGGAAGGACGGGATCAAACCTGCAGGAGAACCAACAACCAATGTGCTGCAACAAGTAACAAGTAGGAAGCGTTTCTCGCGACGTGAAACCACAGCTTCGCCGCAGCGCCTGCGAATGAGCTGAAGTGGTGTTCGTGAAGGTGCGCAGACAGGGTTGGAAAGAACTTCCACATCGATTCTGAAAGTAAGAATCACCTGCCGATGCAGGATGCTTCCATGACCAGGTCATCCATCCCAGTGCAGATCTGAATGCAAGAGCCATCTCTTCCAAGTAATTAAGTAGGATCCTGTTCCCTTTCCGGAGCTCTTCCTGCACGACTTGCACAAGGGCACAATTGGAGAGATGCACTTGATGCATTGGTGCCACTCCAGATTTGTGATTTTGGCCTCTTAGTAGCTTTGCGACAGGAGCTTGCCACGGCTATGTCGAGGCAAAACTGCTGCATTCTGGGAGTTGGAAGCATTTCATCTTGGCAGATGGCTGCCGCATCTCCGGCAGGTATCCTGCAACAGACGGCAAAGGACGGCTGTGCACCTCATAAGCTGCGATCAGCCTCTTTGCCCATGTCGCCAGCTTCGAATTGGTCTTGCTTTACACCCCGAGTCAGCCCTGTTGCAAAATAGCCTTTCACGGACAACTTCCATGCACCCCCTGCCAGCCTCACTACAGAATCGCGCTCAACAGCCAACTGTCACTGCGGCGACCACTTGTAAACTGTGTGTGATGATCCATAATCTCCGACTCCTCTAGTTTTCACAACCGGAGTCGCAGATTCAGCTTTATAGCTTTGATCTACTGCACATCTAGCAAGACTGATCACAAGAAATGCTTGGGCACAGAAACCACACCTTGGCCACCGGTGAATCTGACTCTTGGAGTCTCAGTACTCGGTATATCCAAGGTGACTCGGACGAGTTCAGATGTGTCGAGCCTTTCCCGAGGCAATGGATGTGAATGGGCTGACTGCAAAGAGGGCGCGGCGATGGGCAGGCGTGGCATGCTTCAGTGACGCAATCGATGCAGAACTGCGGTTGCTGCGTGGCCGACTTGTCATTCTGACTCTCAATGGCCGCCAGCCAGTTGAGCGTGATGTCGCGATGCACATCGCATCCTGCACCAGCAGATCTGTTCGGAGTCTTTTTTTATCTTGTGAGGCTGCTCCTCGTGGTGAGGGTGGCATTGTCCAGTGAGCAGTGGCTGCTCTGTGCTGCTTCGGTTGTTAAGATGCTGCTGTTGGGGCTTGGGGTTGCGGTCCTTTCCATGTTCTCAGTTCGTTCCACCCGCCTTGGCCGTCTCCTGTGTCCTACGCTGCCGTGTTGTGGCTTTCGTCTCGTTACCACAGTGTCGTCGGAAGCAGCATTCAGGGTCAGTGATGCTTGGCTCTATGCTAGGTCGGGTTCAGGACCTGGCAGGGCGGCTAGATGCGAGCCTGTGCAGGCAGGAACTGCATTGCTTCACAAGACAGAGCTTCTCCCGGGTCAGTACGACATCGGAATCGACCATCCTTCCTCTCCGTGTAGCGGGACATGAAGGTCCTGGGCTTCTGCGATGTCGACACAGTAGAGCAGAGCCAGGTGCTGCCACCTTCAGATCTGACTGGCACACCCCATAGGCGACGGCGACATACCACAAGATAACACTGGCGCTGTGCGTGCTGCTTATGATCTGCAACACCGCATCATGTCTTAGAAACAACCGCGTGGAGGCACCTCTTGCCACGCCAGCGTGCACAGCAGCAAGGTTGAGCTTGGTGAACAAAACAACGTTGAGCCCGCCAGGGAGATGCTCGGAGCTTGTGCGGTTGTAGGTCTCTCGTAAGCTGCGTAGAGCTTTTAGACTGTATGCGAACTACGATGGTTGATTCGTTTCTGGTAGCCTTGATAAGAACTGGCGCGGTTTGATTTTCTAGGCAGAAGCTTGGCATCGAAGGCTATTGCAAAATGAGACATCTTTGAGGTTTGAGGTTATTCGGTTGACCTGATCCCCGAGCAACGGATAATCCGAGGAGTTAAATGGTAGCCCCCCATCAGAACCCCAGTCCCTCCGGTTAACCAATATATAGGTAACTGTTTTGGTCCCCACCAGGGTAGGAACCGACAACAAGAGTGGGAACCGTTTCCTTGGAAAGCTTGATTTGATCACGAACTAATCAATCTATGCTGAAAACACAGGACTTCCGGCCGTTGACAAAACATGTGGGCTTGGAATTGGCACTTCTGTGGTGTATATTAAGTAGAACAATGGCCTGGAATCTTCATTTCTGTTGCGCAGTCGCTTTGGCAAGGAAGCTTCAGTGATGCTTAGGGGTATATTGGTGTGACCATGCGATGAATGTATGGTATGCTTGGCATGTGAGTATGAACGTGCATTTCTACATGACCATGTGATGAATGTGTGATATGCATGTCATGGGAGCATGGTTTTGCACGTGTAAACAAAATGTATGCATATATCATATATGGCTTATCGAAAGCCATGCGCCGGGCTTCGTTTTTGACGACGAAGCACTTCACTCTCAATGGTGCCCCCTCCGCTCCGCTTCTGACTGTTTGTTGTGTTGCTTTATTCTGCGGACATGTGAAGGCCACGTAGTTCTGTGGTGAAAGGCAGGCATCGGGCCCAGGTTTAGTTGCCGTCGAAGCGTTTCGGCCATGGCTTGCGCAGCCCTCCG